AAGTAGAAACATACCCTGAAGGTGATAGGTTCTCCGATTCCACGGTTGACAGCACGAAAAACAAGGAAATAGTTATGTTTATAAAAATTCCAACGTTTCGACCGAATTGGCATCGGGAAAGAACACAAAGCAAAAACAAACTGCTGTGTCAGTTGGCGCTTGATTCGATTTTTTGAACGCTAGTCTGATTGCCAATTAAGCCATCAATCATGCCGTTTGTCGTGGAAATGTCAGCGTTGCGAGTTTCATTTTAGCCAGCAGCGATGTATAGCGACTCATTAATTAACATCGTCACTTTGTCCCGGTGTCGATCGCCGTTGTGAAAATCATGTGACCTTTCTCCAGAGTATGAGCAACAAAACCAGAATCATCAGCAAATGGTACCTGATGGCTCCTCTATGCTCCGTTAATGTTGTTTTTAATGCTCGACAGGTCTCGACCAATCACAGTTGTTGCGAGCTATTTGATAGGTCATCACATTTTTACTCTCCAAGCTGAAGCAGGGATCAATCTGATTGTACAATAGGTTTCCAAAGGTTTCTCTCCACCCCCCCCCGCAAAAATACATTAAGACCATAGATTTTTAACTGTCGCATAATTATCTTCGATATGCCTTGATATACAGAGTATCGAAATGGGGGCCTTGCAGTTAAAAATGGGAACGGGGCTAAACTAAGGGCGCTTAAAAACAGAATCAGTTAAATATTTGTCATACACAATTTTGAGGAAAGCAGATGACAGTTACTTGATTTCAACCCTGAAAAGTTGGTCAGCACTCCAATAGCTGAAAGTCCAATTACGCAAGCATTGCATGATATTGATGAAGAGAGATTCGAGAGTGTAGGACAAAATGTAAAGATAGCGGTTAGTATGTGGTGGGTTTCTATATATTATGAATGAAAACGTATCAGTGGTTTCTTGTTTAATGAAAATGCCAAGAAACGCCATCTGCTTATTGTGGCCGTGCTCCCTCTAGAGGGATGACCAACAAGATTCGTAGCTTAATTGGCGACGGGGCTGGTGTTCAGCCAACTGGGTCAGTCACCAGCTGACTCAGCTGTTTATTCTTGTTTCGTGTCCACTTCCGATTCAAATCGGTCGAAAGGCTGGAATTCT